GAAATTTTGCAATTGTGTAGGGGTGTATAATATGATGCGGTACTACGTGGAGGTGTATGCACTTCTGTATAACCATATGTTCTTTCACCAATTCTATCAATGCATGTAGTTTCTTCTTCTTGCAAAACTCTAGCCTTTATTGCAGCATAATCAGGAAACAACCCCTTTTCATATTGTTCAAGGCAAAGAGCACTAATTCTCTTGTTTTGTGCCAAGCTCTTTTTTAACACAGCCACAACCGCTTCTGGAAAGGATTGCTCTGCAATACTTTCAGATTCTTTCGGCAATGATTCGTGAGTGTTGCCGAAATTCTCGAATTGCATAGAGTATGCATTATATGCTACAGTATTTGATGACGGCACATGTGTTCCTGTAAAATTTTCACTTACTCGGCTATGACCATGAAGATGCGGGGCCGAATTATGAACATCTACAGTTGCATACGGTGCTGAAAAATAGTAACATGAGGTGTAGCATATGATGGTTGAGAGTAACTGGCCGAATAGCTAGTAGTAGCATGGCCAATTCTCCCATCCATCGGCAAGGTTGGATTCACATACTGCAAATTAGTTGCCGATGAATAAAAAGGTGAAACACTTTCTTCTATGCTATTGAAATTTGAACATGAGGTGTTTCAAATTGATTAACCGAACCCATCATGTTGTTCATCGGCATATGGATTTGTGGTGTTGCTGATGTTTGAGGGTTGGGATACATATGTTGCATGTTGCTAAAATCATAAGAATTTGAAGCACAAAGATTATTTTGCATCGGCCCTTGCGCATAATTAGATGCATGATTGATAAAACTAGGGCTAGCCGATACATTATGCTCATTAGGCGATCTAACAACAACATATGAATTATTTGCATCTACAAAGGGGAATTGAGTGTTCATATTACCTTCGTAAATTGCAAACCCTAGATGACGATCTCTTCGTAGCAAGAACGGGCTGGAGACCGTTCAAAGCTTCGTCCCCAGCGGAGTCGCTAAAAAGTGTGTTCACACACGAACATGTCACCATGTACCCTCGACGCCGGAGGTGATGCACCACAGCTCACGTGGAAGGAGACCCGCCGGAAGTGCGATACGCAAGACAATCCGGCGGGCGCTTTTGTAGACCCGAAACCCAACACGCCCGGGAGGGACCCCGTCAGGGCGCGCGACGGCGGCTGCCCTAGGTTGGCCTGACCGCCCCTAGGGCCTCGAGGTTCGCCGCCCTGCAATGAAGAAGAACGAACGAAGAATGAGGAAGAAGAAGAACAAGGGAGAAGGAAAAGTAAAGGTAAAAGATGTAGATAGATTTGTTCGATTGTGTGTTGTTCAATCGACCATCACCTCCTATCTATATAAGAGGCGGATGGACTTCCCGTACAAGAAAAGGACTTGCCTATCCATCCAAATCATCAAAACCTAACAAAACACGGACTATTCACGACCTCCGGCCCGGATGATCCGGCCTAGCCCAGTTTTCCGACAACGGCTCACTGTTTTGACTCTAGAATCAACATACGACCTCAGATTTGGACGATTTTTATATCAAAATCAACCGCCTTGACGATACGCACAACTTTCATATTGAACACTTTTTGATCTGAGGCCATCTTGAAAGTCTGCAGCAGAAAAAAAATGGTCCGGACGTCCGGACGATTTCCCGGATTGTCAGGCCTTTACCCGAATCATCCGGGACTTGACCCATATCATCTGGCTTCAAATTTTAGATTCTGTTGTTTGGGTCAATTTTTTGGCCCCCAGCCGGATGATCCGGCCATGCAGTGCTGCAGCGCATAGTTTTGGTTGTAACTTTTGCATACGACCTCGGATTAAGACGATTTTTATATTGAAATCGTCCATTTCGACGAGACAAAGAACTTTACTGTTGAAGAATTTCATCTGAGGTCATCTTAATTAGGTTTCATGCTATTTTCTAATCTGATGTCAACACGGGCATCTCCGAAATTGTCATATCTTTTGCACTTGAGCTCCGTTTTGGTATTTCGATCATCTTGAAGAGGGCCATCAAATGGTGACATGAACTCATAATTTTAACCTCATCCCATTATAGACTCAAGTCACTCTTTGTGATCATGTCATTTTTGAGAGTCAACATCTGATAATATAATATTTTTGATATAAAGTCATCTTACGTTAGTTCCCTTCGGGTATGCGCTGAACTTCTAAAAGGAGATAATGGGACATGATGAGTTGGCATATATGCATGTTGAGAGAACCAGAGTTAGTGAGATCAAGTATACATTTAGGTATATATTATTAAGAAGAGAGTGAGCACTGATCGGTTAATTAGCAGAAAGTTGGACTAAAATCGGTATACCTCAACCCACATAACATGGGCACCACCGACGGGCATGGCCACCGACATGGACACCACATAGCTCTTGGAATAAAGCAACATCCGCCAGGAGCCGCAAGTGTCATCGTCATCACCGGTTACATCGCCAGATAGGCGTCTTCAATTTAGTCGTAGAGTTCCACCAACGTAGTCATCTCACAAACAGCTGGACGAAGGCCACAAAAGCACATGCCAGAATATGGCCACATGCGCCAACGGCTGGTAACTCCAACTTTAACAACGAGCATTGCAACGGAAATATGTTGGGCATGCGCCGATTGAGTTTTCCGCAAGCGACCACCAAGTGCAACTCATCTTCACTATCTGGACTCATTCCACCGTAGCTCCGACTACCTAGCAACGAAGTGAACCAAGAAATACATGGGACACGCAGATAGCACCGACTACGAGAACCCGAGGCACGACCCAAACTCATCTTGACACCATCGTCGGTGTCAAAAAAATGACAATGCCTCTAGGATAGCCGCCTCAAAAAAATCATTGAGTAGCTGCGTGTGCACCTGATGATTTCAAAGATTCTGATGCATCTGTGGAAAGTTCATAAGATGAGCCGCATATTGATCTTCCGGAATTTCAAGTTGTTCTCCAAGTGCTTCAAAATCATGGGTTTGGGCTACGCCATCACCCTCATCCTCGACAATCATATTGTGCAGAATAACACAAACATGTCATCATCTACTACAAAGTTTCTGACTCCCGCATCATTGTAGCGCTCCGAACAATTACCCAACGAGCTTGAAGCACACCAAATGCCCTCTCCACATCCTTCCTAGTTGCTTCCTGCATTCTTACAAAGTGGCTATGTTTATTGCCACGCGGTTCGAATATGGTCTTCACAAACAGCACCCACTGACGATAGATCGATACCATCGGCAAGATAGTATCCCATGTTGTACTCTCGGTCGTTGACGATGTAGTTGAACGTCGGTGATTCCCCATTGCAAAGCCTCCTGAATACCGGAGATCGTTGAAGCACGTTGATGTCGTTGTGAGAACCCGGTATTCCAAAGAAAGCATGTCAAATCCATAAGTCATGTGATGCCACCGCTTCTAGTATGATGGTGGCCTCTCTGGTGTGACCTTGATAGATTCCCCGCAAACCTTTTGGGGCAGTTCTTCCATTGCCAATGCATGCAATCAATTGATCCGAGCATTTCTGGAAACCCCCTTGCCTCTCCAATAGCTAACAACTTCTCCGTGTCATGCGCATTTGGTTCTCTGAGATACTCAGGTCCAAACACCTCCACCATGGCGCAGGCAAACTTGACAGTAGTCTTCAAGCACGTGTTCTCCCTCATCCTGGCCATCTCACCAACGACATCTGCAGCAGCACCAAGTGCAAGAATCCTCAGAGCAGCTGTGTACTTCTGCTTGGAAGGGAAAGAGAGTTGTCCGCGGCAATCCGTTGTGAGCTTGAAGTTGTCGTCGGGTGCCTCCACTCCCTTCACAATGCGCAAAAACAATGGTTTCCGCATGCGAAAAACAGCGACGAAACCAAGGATCGTCCGGGAAAGTAGGATTAGGAGCAAAGTAGTCCCTGTGCAGTAGCTTTGCTCCGGACACCCTGTCTCGGTTGATCACTCTTCTCCCTTTGATTGAGCCCTTAAAATTGAGAATATGCTCCACTTGCCGGTCCATTTATTCTTGCATGCTCATGAGCATCATCATGTCCACTTGTTTGTCCGAATCCGAGGAATCGAAGAACTCATCTTCAATAATTGGTCAAGCTCCGTCGGTCCATACTTCTCGTCAGACGAAGCATCGGAGTCCATTATTTTCCCTAACAAAATCACAAAAAATTCGGTCGGACAATGTGTTAATGTGTCGAACACATCAAGCGCAAGACAAAGCCAGAGAGTTGCGGACATACCATGGTGGCGTCCGACAGTCCGGGCCGGCGACGACATCCCCCATGGCGAGGGCGGGAGAGAGGACTGCAGAGCTGGCAACGCAGAAGCTAGGAACGTCTGTGGAGCACGCGCGACGATGAAGCTGCAAGACGGACATCGCCCAAGAGGAAGAAGAGAGGATAGCAAATGGATCTAGCAGGTCTTGGGGGTGGATTTGATGCAATTTACAATGGGGTTGAGCTATCGGGTCCGACGTGGCGGACGTGCCCAGACACGCCCGAACACCTTCATATTTGAGCTGGATATAAGGGGTGTCGGTCAGCCGGGCGTTGATGCACGTTTAAGGGGGGCGTCTAAGTCAAAAAATCATGACCAGATAGTGACCGAGGGTGAGACGGGTTTGAGGCGTCCAGCTGTAGATGCTCTAAGACAATAATTTTGGGAGGGAGGGAGTAGATGATCAATATGCCTTCCACACAATGGTGGGCGCGCGTACACAGCGGAAACGGACTGAAAACATTTTTCAGATTCAAATCACGAAGGAGGGAAATACCGAACACACACTTGAACCAATAAGCACGGAGGTGGTAGTAGTTGGGTGGGTTCAAATCCAAATTTCAAAAAGTGGAGGCGCTAACCACCTTCTTTTTCTTCTTTTCCTGCTGAACAATACAGGCTGTGATTTCTCTTGTCGTTTTCCATTTCGTCTCTGAAAAAATAGCTACGGTGAAACGAAACGCCCTACGACACCGACGTAATTACACAGAAACCCCTTCTCTCTACTCCGAGTAGTCTCCGTACCTCGTCGCCTCCTCCGACTCCGACACGCCGCCGTCGTGGCGCCTCTTCCTCTTCTTCTTCGCGGCAGGGGCGGCGGCCTTTGCCGGTCTCGTGGCGGCGTAGAGCTCTGACAGCAGGCGGTACCTCTTCCTTGCCCTCCTTTCCAGATCCATCGACCCCAGCGGCAGCGCCCTCTCCTTGACGACCCGCTCTTCCTCCTCGTCGACGGCGAGGTCCTTGCAGCATGAGTTCGCCGAGCTCTTCCTCGTCCTCCAGTCCAGGTCCATGGACCCCAGAGACATGGCAGTCTCCTTGACGATCGGCTCCTCCTCAGCGTCGACGGCGAGGTCCTCGCAGCACGAGCTCGCCGAGCGCTGCGAGGAGGACGTCATCGTGAACGCGGCCGCCTCCGCCTCTCCCAAGCGGAGCTGCAGGAGCAGGTCGGCGGCCGCCAGGTCCGCCGCCGTGAAGAGGCCCCCGAGCCAGAGCTCCCGCTCCAGCCCGCAGCCGACGGCGAGCGACGACATGGAGCAGCGGCCGATGGGATCCCTCGGTCCCGCGGCGAGAGGAGAGGGGTGGAATGGGAAATTTCTTGGTTGTGGCTGCGTGGAGTGGGAAGGAGAAACGGCCGGGTCGGATGGAGGCGAGTTTAAAGCGGGGGAGCCGGCTCGGTCGGTGTTGGCCTCGCGCGCGGCCGTAGCAGACGTGGGTGCCGGTGACCCTGGGTCGTGGGGTACAGGTGTCTGGTTGGTGCTGGTAGACGGAATTGGTCGCGGGTCACGTGAACGTTGGGTATGCTGGGCCCGGCCGGCAGCCAACGGGACGATGACGCGTGCCTGAGGCTGCGGTCACAAGCACCAGTGTAAAATACCGTACTGAATTACAGTAGTTGTGTAAAATGCTGGTGATTTTAATGCTGCATACACCTACTGTGTATTCTATACTAGACACGATGAATCTGAGTTGTAGAATGAGACTTGAGAGCAGGCTTTATGAAATTTGGTTTATTTGGCAAATTATCATCCTCTATAAAGACCAAAGACCAAACAATGAAGAACTGGAAAGACCAATTTGATTGTCAAAATGGAAGACTGAATTCTAAAAAGACTGAATTGAGCAAACCGAAAACATTGAATGCCTGGCTTTGTCGTGTGGTCCCTGTCATCGAAGTCTTTCAGCCATGCAACTGACTCATGTTATTTGTTGTCTAGTGTGTTCATCCACTTCTAGTCCTGCTGATGTTTCTTATCAATATGGGTGTTCTAGTTCTCCCCTGAGCAGACTCTCGGCTCTAGGCTATTGAGGTATCGTTGTCGTTTTTTTGTTTTTGGGATTATTTGCATGAGGAGCACCTCCACTTTATGATGCCTTTCTGGCGGCACTGGCAACACATTCATGTTGTGGCATAGAATCAACAAAACACGTCTTTTGTCGTCGTTCATGACATGCATTGCATGCTTCGAGGCTTCGTCTCATGAGGTATTCGGTACCGCCAAAGGTTAATTTTTGTCTTGAGTTGTCAGCCTTCCCTGTATGTTTTCTGCACTACTTTCCCTGCGTCTATCTCTTACTTGGGTGTCAGTCCTTTGTAACTCTCTATGTGGTGTATATGCGCCCCTTATAGTCAGTGTACCTACCACGAACTAGGGCAGCCCATACCGTCATGCGCTTCAGCGAGTCAGATGACTCTTAGTCGCTTAACGCGAGGTATAGGGACGCCAATGAAATAATGAGGTTGACATATTGATTAAGTTTTGATTTTTTTTAGGCAATTGATTAAGTTTTGATGGGTTTCTTGGAAACAGAGAAGGCCATGACCTGAGCACCGGCGGAGTTTCGGCAAGGACATTTGGGCCGTGGCCCGCTCAAAACTAGCACCAAAAGGAGTTTATATATAGCCTAGCCCATCACTAGTTCACAACTGCAGCCCACAACGCTGACCGACGCAAGGCCAATACACAGGGAATTCCCTAATGGACGCACACTGCGTCAAGATGTCGACGTTTCGCAACGATCAAGGGAGCGATCGCAGTGGGCTGGCCCATGTTAGCTGTTAGCGTGTACTCGGATCCTGGTTTCCAGAACATTCAAAACTCGGTTTTTTCTGGTTTTTAGGAACCTTCTAGAACGTTCCTGAACGATTTTGTCTGGTTTCCCGTTGTTGTTTTGGTTTTATTTTTTAAATTTAACTTTTTTTATTATTTGTTTCTTTTTTCTTTTCTTTTTTTTTCATTTTTTCTGTTTCAAGTTGATTTCCCTTCTAATATTTTTTTCGAAATTTTCAAACTTTGTTCAGATTTCCGAAAAATATTCCTCCTTTAATTTTTTTTCCATATATTCAAAAAATATTCTAGTACCAAAAAATGTACAGTAATTTCAAAAATTGTTTTTGTCTTTAAATTCTGTTCACAAGCTGAAAAAAGTTCAGGAATTGCAAAATATGTTTCTTTTTTTAATGTCCACATGTTGAAAATTTATTCATTTTCGAAAAAAAAAATCAGGTATGTTTGTGGTTTCAAATTTTGGTCAGAAATTAAAAAAAAGTGTTCAAACTTTAGAAAATGTTCAAGAATTCAAAAAATGTTCGTGATTTCTAATTTTTGTTTGGAATTTCATGAAATGTTCCATTATTTTGTGATTACAAATTTTGGTCAGAACTTCAAAAAATGTTCGTGTTTCATAAAATGTTCAAGAATTTTAAAAAATGTTCGCAATTTCTAGTTGTTTGGAATTTCATGAAATGTTCCATTTTAAAGTTTTTTTTCATAAATTCAAAAAATGTTCGCAGTTTCAAATCTTTGTTCCAATTATCTTGAAATGTTCCACTTTTCCAATATTTGTTGAAAATTTTAAAAAATGTGCACGGTTTCAACATTTGTTCAGAATTTCATAATTTGTTCACAAATTCAAAAAATGGTTTATGTTTTTCAAAAACAATATTTTTTGTTCCATTTTTATGCTGTTTCAATTTTTTGTTCACATATGAAAAAAATGTTCCTGTCTCCATTTTTTTTCTTTGGGAATTCAAGAAATGTTGGTCCTTTCTGAAAATATACATTAAAAAACGTTCAACCCAGTAACTAATTCAGATTTGCTACAAATAGGTACTTTCGGTTCGCTACAGTACACCATTCCAGTTCTACATCTACGGTTAGTTCTTTAAGCGGTGCACTGCTACATTAACAGCAGTACTGGCTAGGCCGAGTGGCTAGTAGTGCGCGGTAGTACACACTTCTCTTGGTTCAATTTCTGGGTCGTTCGCCTTTTCTTTTTGTGCTATATTTTTCGTCCCGCTAGAACTCTATGGGCCGGCCCAATCAGGTCCCTCTCTGTGCATCAGGCCGCCAATTTGACGCAAAGCGCGTCAAATAGGGGCTCCCAATAGGAGCAAGCACGCAGCAGCCTCGCACCCGTACCATTCACGGTGATACAGAGCTCAGGGTCCGGCCCCACGACGGCCGCATCATAGCGCACCAAGAAGCACACATCAGTTTATCTCAAAAAAAAAAAGCACACATCAGACACCGGAGCATCGCACCCACCAGTGCCTCCCAATACAGGACGGCAAACCGGACACCACCCAATGGCACACAGCTAGTGAACCGACCACACGGTCACGCAGTGGCAGCCGGCGACCCAGGCACCCAGCTCTTCAACGTCTTCTCTCGATCCATCAGAATCCCTACTTATCTGAATCCATGCAAGGTTTTCACAGGTAAATTGATTCGAAGTATTCCCAATTTTATTCCCGTAAATTTCATTTAGGTCATTGTTCACTGAATCATCCCCTAAATTCTCAATTAGCATAAATAAACAATCCACTGAAGATCTTGTTCCTTACCATCTGTGCAAGACATTGTTGTTTACACTTCACAAGTTCATAAAAAATGCTACTTTTACAATTTACAAGTCCACATCAAAGGCAGTGTTGTTGCTTACTGACTAACAATGCACCCAATTGTTGTTTACTGCCAGTTTGGTAGCACTGTTTGGTACTTTCCTTTTTTTTGTGAGATTGTTTGGTACTTTCGTAGCACAAAAATATATGGTACGTAATTTGAAAATATGTGTGCTCGCTGGTCCGCCCAATTTTTTTTATCTCCGCCATTGGACCTGAGTACACGTGACGCAGACTGATTTCAGAGGAAAATCATATACCACACGCAAAATGGTTGTCCCACCGTGTGCTTAAAATTCATAGATATCTATTTTCCATGTTTGAAACCTGAGGCAACCGAAAATAATTAGTTTAGTCGACTTCACATAGAGGAGAAGAACATCCAATCCGGAGATGATACGTCACTGTTGACTGCACCTTCCCAACAAGATCTTGTTAGGACCTTGCTGGAGACGGAGACAACACGTTGGCGTCACCGGTGAATGAGAGTAAGAGGGTTGACGGAATCAACTTTGAGGGTGGTCCGCGATGCAAGAGAAGGCGGGGATTTAACGGGATAATCGAGACAATAGTGGCCTAGGCAGGCCAGTGCAGCGAGGCAAGACGACAGCCGGTTCGACCGGCGCTGGGAACAAAGTATCAGAGGGCCGGTAAGCTAGGAAGAAAAACCTTGCGGCAAAGCTGGCAATGCATTGTTATTTAATTTTAAGAGAACCTTGCTAATTATTTTTGCTGGGAAAATAGAGGTGCACATTTTGCGGTTTGCTTTTTTATGTGTTTTTGCTTCTTTTTTTACATACAAAAGTACTCTTCATTGCAAGCTGATCATCATAGTATGTTTTACACGAGTATCAACAATCTCTACGGGTGGTCCAACCCACACACACCTTCTTGTTAGTTTGGCTAAATCATGCGCATCACAATTAGTCTCTTTAGGAGCATGCTCAAAACTAATATGCGGAAAATCACACGGAAGGTGATATATATCATCAAAAAATGCCGCCGATAGACCTAAAGAGCGACCTGCATTCTTCATTGTATCTACCACCTCGATATTGTGGGAGTTCACCTTTATGCGATTGCACTCGACTGTAGTTGCCAAATTAAGACCACTGTATGGTCAGTGCCTTGGCCATAAGCGCATCTCCGCACCAATAGATTTCCCTGTTTCTTGTCGCGACGAATTTGCCATTCGAGTCTCTGATGACAGCGCCATACGAGCTCTTGAGTACGTCTAGGTCAAAAGTCTCGTCCACATTTAATTTCACGCATAGCTGTTGGTTGGTCTTTCCCAACCAGAAACGCAATCGTCAAGGTCTTCTCGTCCAGCCAGCCAAACAAAACCTAGAAGCCTATGTGCATGGGTAGGGCGCATTAAAAGGCTGATGTTGCTTCCTTTTTAGGGTATTTTATTTCCCAAGTTTTTCTTTTTTATTTCTGAGGAATTTCTTCTTTAACATGCAAAAACAAAGTCCAGAATGTACCTGCAAAAAATAGTCCAAAACATTTATTTTTGGGAGCTCCTAGTCCGTGCTACAGGCACCGATTAGGAGATGCGGCGCTCACTACACCGCAGGGTGGGCTGGCCCACGAAGAGGCACCACGCAAAAAAGCAAAAACAACCCAGAA